GGAGGCGGAGGTTGCAGTGAGCTGAGACCCCACCACTGCACTCCAGCCTGGGCAACAAGAGTGAAACTCCATCTCAAAAAAACAAAAACAAAAATGAAACAAAAAACAGAAGTTGGCTGGGAGACAGAGTGGGTAGGGTTGGTGTCTGAAAATAGCAGTAGGTGACATATAAACACATAGCACAACCTCAGAGAAGGAAGGCAGGGTCACCGCCAAAGCGTTTCCTTGCCTTTGTGGATCCTCCCTGGCAAAGAGCGCTAATGCTTCCCGGTATTTAACATTTCACTTCCTGACAAATGTCACAGAATCCCAACTTGCTCTCTCTTTCTCATTTAGAGGATGCCTGTGGTCATCTGGTTTTTTAAAACTCTACATTCCAAACCAGTCATTTTCCTTGTTTATGCATTCAAAGAAACAGATGGTGAAAACCACAGGGGAAAAAAGCCAACCAAATACAGCACCCGCCACTGATTCCAGGCTTCCTGATGTTACCATCTAATTCACATTGGTCCGCAAATGGCATTTAAATGGGACCAGCATTTTGCATCTGGTCAAGACACGTCCAGTGCAGCAATCCTCACTGTGACACATAGAGGATCAGGGAGCTGGAAGTCTTCTACTTTTGGACATTCTCTGCCATGACCTGTTGCTTGGGTCGCTTTCGTGCCAATTGTGTGTTCTCTCCTCAGAGGAAAAGTGCTGACTGAGCTGTACCTTACAAAGTCTCCAGTTTTGTGGTTCATCAAGGCTTTTTCTTGCTGCTTGCCCTAAGTACACAAAAACCGTCCTACGATCTCTCCTCATTCTACCTCCCAGAGCTGCTGAACTTCAGCCTAAGAGGCACGCCAAGGTCTGGCTAAGGGGACCTCAAGTTTGGAAGAATTCTCCTAGGCATTTGGTCGGTGAGGCATTAAAGAAATTGCTACACAAAGGGCATTTTAAAACTAATTTTCTCAATGAAATCAAGTCAGGTTTTCATTTCCTTTCTCCCTCTGTTTGCTTTTTTTCTCCCCACATTCCTTTCATTCTATGTATTTATTTATAGTTACAAAGGCTTAGCCTTTGGAATTACGAAAGTGACCTCTTAATTCATTAGTGTTGCCAGGAAGGGGGCTAGATCGTGAGATCTCCTGGGGCTCTATGACCCAATGCTGCTGCAACTGCTTTCCTGATTACTCGGCACAGGATTCGCACTTCCCATATGTGGATTTTCTGTCCCTAGGAAGAATCCAACCTTTCTCAGATGTTACTATACCATTCTCAGTAGCTAATGGGAGGGTCCAAGGCAGAGACTTTGAGAAGAGCTATGAGGCAGAGAAGGGCAGATTGTAGACATTTAGAAAAGGAAGAATCCATTTAATACATCTCCAAGTCTGGGTCCCGGCAGGATAGGATCAAAAGACTGGCGTTGTTAGTTCTCTAATTATTCTGCTTACATAAAAACAAGAAAACAAGCTCAGATTGCCCCGCCCCACACTTTGATGGTGTTTGACCCACACTGTTTTGAGTCTCAGATCCCAGTGGCATGAGTTTTTGGAGATGCTTTTGATAGTTCCCTGTCTTATAATTTTGAAAGCCATGCATGCTGAAATATTAAAGAAAAGGGTCTGTGTTTGAGTAGCAGAGACAGAGAGGGAAGTCTGAGAACCAACATGATGACGGCAAGTTGTGGGAGAGGCCCCTGGGGTTCTTTCTGGTGTTTCTGCATCTGTGTTCCCTGAGCTGGTACCTATAGCAGAGTAAGGGTCCTACACTCAGATGCTGGACAGCTGAGCAAGCAGGGTGTGGGGAAGAAAGAAGCCAGACTTTGGTGCTGGGGACACAGAACTCCTCCTACTGAAAGGAGGAAGACATGGCCAGATCTTTCATATTTTCAGGAGAAGCCAGAAATTTGGATTTTTATGTAAAACCTGGTTTTCAAAATTGGCTTAAATTTTAAAAACAGCATCTTGGCCAAAATCAACAAGTCTCTGGCCCCCGTGCTGCAGTCTTTGCCTTCATCTGTGTATTTTTGCCCTCCTTCCTCTTGGAAATCCTCTGAAGGCGGGGCCCCCAGGCTCTGCACCAACTCCCTGCCTCAGCAAGACTGAGCTGTCCATTTCCACAGATGCGCTGCCTGCCCACACCTCTGGCCTTCATCCATGCCATATCCTTGTCTAAGATGCTCTTCTTTCTTTCCTCATATTCAAACTCGATTTGATTTTCAAGGCCAGTCTGAATGCCTTTCCCTCAGCAAACCCTTCGCAAAGGGATAAAATGTCTCTGTCCTCGGAACTCCCTGAGCTGGTGATCCATATATCTCTAACAGCACTTATCACTTGTGGTTTGACGGACTGATGCATCTTATCTCTTCTAGCATTTTAAAGTCAGAGACCATTCCTTCTTCATTTATTTATATATATATATATAAAAATTCCTTCTTCATTTATTTATATATATAATTTTATATATAATTCTATTAAATTATATATAATATATATAATAAAAATATATATTATATATAATTTTATATATAATTATATATGTAATTTTATATGTAATTTTATATATAATTATATATACAGTTTTATATATAATTTTATTTATATATGT